ACCAATTATATCTCAATTAATTGTTTATGACAAACTACAACGAGTACCTATTTCCAATGAAATTATGTATAAAATGAAACTTGACAATTTATCGAACACTTGGCGTGCAATCGACTTTTCATATTTTCTTTTGAGCTTTGTTGATGTGAGAAAAAACTTACAATCAAAGTGATTATAAGCTAAAAAACAAAGCAATTTAAAGTTTAACTATCAAATAAAAATTATGTACGAATCGACCGATCAAACAACATGTTTAACAAATTGCATATAGTAAGTAATTGAGAGTAAGAGAGGAGAGAGAGAGAGAGAGAGAGAGAGAGAGAGAGAGAGAAGAGAGAGAGAGAGAGAGGAGAGAGAGAGAGAGAGAGAGAGAGAGAGAGAGAGAGAGAGAGAGAGAGAGAGAGAGAGAGAGAGAGAGAGAGAGAGAGAGAGAGAGAGAGAGAGAGAGAGAGAGAGAGAGAGAGAGAGGAGAGAGAGAGGAGAGAGAGAGAGTGAGAGAGAGAGGGAGAGAGAGAGAGAGAGAGACAGACAGACCAGAGAGAGAGAGAGAGAGAGAGAGAGAGAGAGAGAGAGAGAGAGAGAGATTGTGTGACACAAGAATTTATTTAGGGAAGTTCACCAATACCTCTTCACTATGACTACGTCTGCCCCAATTTCAATTTCAATTGAGATATATATCTACTTTGCAAAAAATTGATTACAAAGAGAAGTGTTCCAAGCGCAACCCTACAAACCCTAACTGTTTGTTGTTGATTCTACCCCTTCTCATCTTTTGCTCTTTACCAAGAAAAAGATACAACAGATCCAATTGATTCACCATTTCACGCTACTCCTTTGTGAGATACCCAATCTCCAAAGATTTCACTCGACCGGGTCCAATTGCAAACTATTGACCATAAAACTTCCAATACAATCCATTGTTCGTGCTACACCTTTGCAATATACCAAATCTTCGAAGTTATCACTCGTCGAATCCACTATTGCGAAGTCTTGAACAAAATCCCCAAATCTACCAAAGATCTTAGAGGATAAACCCTAGGTTTTTTCCGGATAAAATCCCCATAATTTTCAACCCAATATTCTCTCGGTTACACAAACCTAATTGGACATTATCAAACCTCGTCTAGATGACATCCCAACAAAAAAATGATTATGTGTAGTTTGTTGTGTGCATGCATAGGTTGGAGGTTGAAGAATGAAGAGCAATGGTGGCAAGTGTTTATAGTTTCATCAATTTGAAATGAAATGTGTATGATGTATTTATAGTTGTAGAATTTTGGTGACAAAGATGGAAACTTCAAAGTTAAAAAAATATGAAAAATTTGACACAAACAACAGTATGTGCCGGCACATACGAGCTATGTGTCGGCCTGAATAGACATGTGTCAGCACATAAGTGTAAAATATGCAGCATGTGCTGACCTGAACAAGGTTATGTGTCAACCACATGCAAAATAGAGTCTACAAGCTTCAATATTGCAATACATGTGTCAGTTTAAAAATACGGATGTGTCGGCACATACTGTTATCTTTTATGTAGAAAATGATTTTTCATATTTTTGACAAATTTCAAACTTGTTTTGAATGCTTTCTAAGACCTCTAACGTAAGGGTGCACTAATTGACACAGAGAAATCGTCTAATATACATAATGTTAAATTTTTTAATTTTGATATCATACAAAATATTTAATAGTGAAGTTACACTTAGAGACTAAACTCTTCAAGCGAACAAATATGAAACTTTTGAATTTAATTTAATTATCTATATTATTAAGAACTTATTATCTTATATTTCAATTTCGAGGTGAAGTTTATTAAACCTCAAATAAATATAATTGTTCATTTGTTAATTAAAGCGGCTAATTTTTACCAGAGTGTGATGTCTTTTATTTTATTCTTTTTTATATTAAGCAACATTTATTAATTGAAATCAATTAACTTTGTGTAAAAAAAGTTTCTCTCTTTCATTATCACAATAAACCTATAATTTCTTATTAAATAAAAAATAAATTTTAAGTAAATTTAAAATTTTCTATCTACATATCAGTTATTTTTATAAAATAAAATTTAGTTTCGTTTTGATGCAAATATTTCTCCTTGGGCGAAAACGCCTCGAGGGGACGCACTAGAGGGACACATGACTTCAGTTTCTCAAACAAACGTCCAAAGACCAACGGGCTGACGCACGAAAACAACTCCTGATTTTTCGCCAAGTGTTCTTCACATATTCATCCGTGTTTCTCTCAACCTTTACCACGTGTTAACACCATTAATGCATGGCCCTCCATGCACGTATATATCAATTATCTTAGCCAATTATCTTCATCCATATCCTTCTTGACGATCACAAAACAGACAACAATTTGTTTCGAAAAACATGAGTCAAGAGAAACCTCGAAAGGAAGAAGGAATAAAATACGGAGGATGTATTCAACGTCGCAGGGAACCACTGGAAGAAAGACGGTGGCTCCTGTGGACGCGGCGATGATGCAGAAGGCGGAGACTCAGACCCTTGGGAAAACCCAGAAGGGTGGCGCTGCCGCTATCATGCAATCGGCAGCATCAAAAAATGAAAGAGATGGAGTTGTAGGGCATGATGATATCAGTGAAGTTGCCGCTGACGGCGGTGTCAGTGGTAACAGAAACCGATGTTTCAGGGCGGCATGTTATCTCTCGAGTCTATCGGCGGCCAGGTTCTTGTTTCATTTTCATTAATGATTATTTGATTTAGTTTGTTATTACAAACAGGTGGTGGAGCAATAATTGTTTTTATTACAAACAGGTGGTGGAGCAATTTAGTCAAAAGGAAGCGATGAATACGGTGACACCAACTTCTCTTGTCCAAGAAAAGGGCGTTGGAGCGGGTGGTGGTAGCATCGGCGGGATAACCATAGGGGAAGCACTCGAAGCTACTGTTTTGACAGCAGGAAAGAAACCCGTTGAATGGAGCGACGCAGCAGCGATTCAAGCAGCGGAAGTTAGAGCCACCGGGCGCACAAAACATCGTCCCTGGCGGTGTTGCCCGCGGCGGCGCAATCAGCCGCAACTCTCAATGCTCGAAACAACAAAGGATGAGAACAAAACCAAACTCGCTGATGTTCTCGCGGTATATACCGAAATATTAATATTCGAGCAACGTGATGCGTGTCTATATTGAAGTTAAAATATTATTTGTGATGATTGATGCAGGATGCGACTTTGAAGTTACCACGGCGGATAGGCCAGCGACGAGGAGAGATGCTGGAAGGTGTGACGGGTGCAGAAATGAGAAATGATCCGTCGCTAACTACACATCCTCGGGGGATTGTCTGCGTCAGTGGCAGCCGCAGCTAGGCTTTAAACCAAAACAATAGTAACTAGTTTAGTTTGATACCTAACTAGCTAGCTAGTAGCTATCTATACATATCTGTATATTAATGGTTATGCTTTTCTGCATATGCTTCTCTTTACTTTCTTTAACTCAATGAAAATGCACTTTTTTCTTTCTTTCTTTTGAGCAAGAAACAGTACATACTAGTGTTTGCATAGTACACCGTATATATTAAATCAATGGTTACAAAACTATATTAGATTGTTATTATTTCGGGTGTATAACAATAGGATTAGGAAATGAATGGAATTCTCTTTCATTGATTCTATCATTTAAATTTCCTCTCTAAATTTTGTAAATGGTCAACAAATTAGTTCAAAAATCACTATCAATCCTAAGGCCTTAAGATCTGTGAGGAGAGCATTGTTGAAACTTAAGTCTAAGTCAATAGTTATACGTGGAAATGGAAAATTAGATTCGGGAAAGTCTCGGCTTGTGGGTAAAAGTGTTGAAGAACAGATATGAGGGTAAAAGTGTTGAAGAACAGATAACGGGAGGTAGAGATTTTGAGGGGCATTACTAGTAGTAAAGATTTAAATTGGTAGAAAAGGGTTTGTGATTATTATTCTCTTAAAGAGGTGTATAGCCTTATTCAATTTAGTTTCTAATTTCTCTTAAGATTTGGCACAAAGAAATTCCTTCAAAAGTTCATATTGAAGGAAGGATAATGTCCTTTTTTTTTTTTTTTAAAGTATTTGGCGTTTTGCGTGTAATTGGCTTCAGATAGCCACGATTTTTTATAAAAATAGTGATTGTATATGGATCCGACAGAATTTTCAGTGATCTATAATACTTAAACTTCTGCGACTGTTGGAAGTATTTGTAAGGTACTCTGATGTGAAAGTTATGTTCAAAGTGAAAGTGTAAGTATCGAGTTAGAGTGAGTAGAATAATGTGTATTTGATTTTCTAGTGAAAAATGATATTTATAATCTCGTTGGACTAAAGTCAATATTTGGGTAGGATGTCCAGATCTATAATGGAGATTGTCAGGATCTTACGTGAATAGAAGAGACAAATTCGTGATCTCTATTCTATATCAACTGTCTTGGGATTCTCAGAGAGTGAAGATTCGTTTTTTTCGGAACAGGAGACTTTGTAATATACGGAGGATTGTTGGTCACATATTCTTGGTGGTCTCTTAGAGGAGACGTCTTCGTCGTGCACTTGCAGGAGGACGTCTTCGTCTTGTATGTGGAGGAGACTCTCTTACGAGCACGTGTGGGAGACGTTTCCAAATGGTCAATAATTTGGACCACCGTAGGAGACCTTCGTCGTGCACTTGAAGGAGACGTCTTCGTCTTGTATGTGGAGGAGACGTCTCCTACAAGCACGTGTGGGAGACGTTTCCAAATGGTCAATAATTTGGACCACCGTAAGAGACCTTCTCGCAGCAGCGTTAGGCTGTCTTTTCTTGATGGGAGATCAAGTACAGGTTCAGTCCAGAATAAGTTGTTGGGTCTTTTGTTAATCTATATTTTGTGAGTTAATACATAATCTTAATTTTTGTCTTTTATTAGATTTTAATTTTATTTTTAATTACTATTTTATTTTATTTTAGTTGTTTTTACAAGTTTAGCTTAGAGCATAATAGGTGTTCTATTTTGTTGTTTTGATGTGTTTTTGTTTAATTTAAGGTTAACTTTGTCGAGTTGAGGCAAGACTGCGGTCGCGTGTAACAAACAGCATAAGCTGAAGAGAGAAGTTGGACTTAGGAAAATAGAAATTAATAATAAAATTAGTTGGATTCTAGAGCAAACGTGGAAGGAAGAAAGCATTGGATGAAATCCGAACTGATTTGAAGAGAGAAAACATTTCAATTCAAAAGATAAGACTTAATGGCATTAGAAGACAAAATATAGTACAAAAGTATTCTACACAGCCTGTTGCGCCTGTTGCCACCTGTTATAGTAGTCTTCCCAGAATGTTTTGTCTCCCATAATTTTTCCCTTGTAACAGATTTCTTGTTGGCTAAGCATAATGATGCGGATATTTATATTGGTCTTGATGTGATTTTCTTGTATTAGGCCCATGATCCAATGTATTTTCAAACTCTAGCTCAAGTCTATAAATAGTACCTTGCTGATATTGAGAAAGGAGTTATGTTGTTCTAAGACAAAAACACCAAGAGTTTGAGTGTGTGGACGAGTTTCTTTTCTCACCCAATCTGGTACTAACTGACGAGGAGTGACGCGATTGAAAATATCTATTGAAGATTATCCGTCTCAAGTCATTCTCCAAGTCTCTCTTAAGTTTATATTTTTTTCTTTATTTATTGTTTAAGAGATGTTCCCATTGAGAACCATGTTTGTAGCTTGTACTCAGCTCATTATGAGCTAAATCTTTTGTAGTTGAGCAATCAGAAGTTAAATTTAAAGTGTTTTCATGATTAATGGTGTGTGGTTTAGTGACATGTTTTATTATTTGTTAACTTGTGAATCAGTTTCTTTGTCAGGCCAACATAGAAATAGATAACAACTTGTTGTTGTGAGAGATCCAATAATAAATGGTTTTCTTAATAAAAATTATTGAATGAGTAGGATAGAGATATTCACTTATCTAGCTTGCTTAGAGATAAAGAGTTGCAACTATTGAAGATTTCAGAATACAAATAGATGCATATTGGAGTTACAAGTGAGGCTTAGAGATTTGTTTCCTTTCCCTTGTTATGCATGTTTCGATGTTATCATTTTGACCTCGTCAGTCACGACACCACACGTCATAAACACTTAAATACACTAATGATATTAATGGAACATAGCTCAACTCAATGACTCTTAATATATTTCTACTTTTTCTCACCTTACTTTTGACCTCTATTTCAAGTGAACTTGAACTCATAAACAACAATCATTATTTCTCTATACTCATGCTTAAATCAAAAGAATAATTTACATACAAAAAACAAATCTAAGTAACAACACTCCTTGTGGATACGATACTCTTATACTTATTACTTGTTGCAATCAAAACATGTATACTTGGATGTGACACCTGATTATCTAACGAGTTTTTGGCGCCATTGCCGAAGAGTGTTTTGTTACATTTCTGAATTTGTAGTTTTCATTTTTTTTTTGTTTTTATGTATTTGAGCTTTAACGTTTCTTGTAGTCTGGTGTCACGACAGGTGTTTAGCTGCTGTAAGCACAGGTTGTTACGTCCAACTTACAAATGAGATCTTGCACCAAAAGTACTAGTGAGAGAGAGAGAGTGAGAGTGAGAGAGAGAGTACAAAAGTATTATGCACAGCCTGTTGCCACCTGCTGTAGCAGTCTGCCCAGAATGTTTTGTCCCCCATAATTTGTCCCTTGTATCAGATTTCTTGTTGGCTAAGAATAATAATGCAAATATTTATATTGGTCTTGATGTGATTTCCTTGTATTAGGCCCATGATCCAATGCATTTTCAAACTCTAGCTCAAGTCTATAAATAGTACCTTGCTGATATTGAGAAAGGATTTCTGATGTTCTAAGACAAAACCACCAAGAGTTTGAGTGCATGGATAATGGAGTGTGGACGAGTTTCTTTCCTCACCCAATATGGTACCAACTGACAAGGAGTGACGCGATTGAAGATATATCTTGAATATTATCCGTCTCAAGTCATTCTCCAAGTCTCTCTTAAATTTATATTTTTTCTTCATTTATTGTTTAAGAGATGTTCCCATTGAGAACCATATTTGTAGTTTGTACTCAGCTCACTATGAGCTAAATCTTTTGTAGTTGAGTAAAGTGAATTTAATTTTAAAGTGTTTTCATGATTAATGGTGTGTGGTTTAGTGACGTGTTTTATTATTTGTTAACTTGTGAATCTGTTTCTTTGTCAGGCCAACTTAGGAATAGATAACAACTTGTTGTTGTGAGAGATCTAATAATAAGTGGTTTTCTTAATAAAAATGGTTGAATGAGTAGGATAGAGATATTCACTTATCTAGCTTGCTTAGAGATAAAGAGTTGCAACTATTCAAGATTTCAGAATACAAATAGATACATATTGGAGTTATAAGTGAGGCTTAGAGATTTGTTTCCTTGCCCTTGTTATGTATGCTTTGATGTTATCATTCTGACCTTACCAGTCATGATACCACACTGTTGTACCCCAAAATTTGCCCTCCTAATTTCTTTTATCTGGCTTAGACTCTTGCATTCATCTGTATATATTCTATTAGGTCATTAACATACATTTGCATTCAATAAAGCGCTTGAGGTTCGAAGTTCAGTGGTTGTATGATATTAGGGTTTCGCAGCAGTTAAGGTGTTCGTATCCAATAAAGCCTGGTTCTTCTGATTATCCTTCAAGCAGTGAAATGTGGAATTAGGGTTGCAACCTATGCTTATTGAGGGTTCCGTTCTATTCAAGTTAAGGGGGTTATTACTCATTCAGATACATTCAAGACAAGAGTCAGAGTTTTTCTCCACCAAGTTTGTGCTTGTCAGCATTTCATCAACCGAGGTTCATTAGGTTTTCTAAGTCATGGCCATCTTGGTCATATTTCTTTATGTATTCCCATGTTCATTTCCAAGTTGTTCTACGAGGTCATCTAAGGGCTACTAAATCAGGAATTCATTATCTCCTTGTTCTCAACGTCATCCTTTGATTAGGGTTTATTTCTCTAAATCATGTACCATTCAAGAGAGGTTTCTCTGGGAAGTTGTGATTATCAGGCAAGGCTATAATCAAGGGATATCGTCCATGAATAATCAGGGTTTCAATTGATATATCTTTGGCAAATAAGAAGGAAAACATTGCTTGCATCTCTAGTCATGTGGGAAACAATCCTATTCTAGAGAAGAAGATTCAGTTGGACCTTCTTCACGAATTAGGGTTTGTATGCCTTATAATGCAAAGCTCTTCATCTGGTCGATTGGCTTACTTGAAGTACAATCTATTTTCTTCGGATTTCATTTAAATGCTTTGAGATCAAAATCTAAAATTTTTTGTATGGAATATTAGGGTTTTTGAGC